GGTTGAAGTTCTCTCCGGAGCAATATGGCTTCAGAGAGGGAATGGATACAGTCATGACAGTAGAGAAAATGATCGAAAGAATAAAAGAGAATAAGAGAGCAAGGAGACACAGTCTGGTCGTGGCGTTAGACCTGTCCAACGCCTTTAACACCGCGTGAGCGACAGCAATTGAAGGGAGAATGAGAAGAATGAGAATGTCAGAGAACGTGGGGAGGACATGCATGAGTTTCTTAGGGGAGAGAACAGTCTCCTGTGGGAGAGTCACTGAAACGGTGAACAGAGGCTGCCCACAGGGTTCCAGTCTGGGACCGACCCTATGGTTGATTCTGATGGAAACATGGTTCGAAAGAATGAGGAATATGAAAGATAGAGAAGGCATTGGAGCGCACGGAGTATATGTGCAAGCCTACGCGGACGATCAGCTGGTCATCATCGAAGGCAACTCCGTCGGAATCATAGAGGAAAGGTGGAAGCTGGTATGGAATGAATGCAAAGCATGGGAGGAAGAGATGTGGCTGGGGTACAATGAAAAAAAGACAGAATGTATGTACATACCAGCGAGAAGGGATGAAAGACTTCCGGTCATTAGTACAAATGAGAGAGAGCTAGAGATAAGAATGAATGTGAGATACCTCGGGGTTGTGGTGGACACTGGATTGTTATTCATTGACCACCACAAGGAGGTGAGAAAGAAGATGAGTGTATTGACGGGTGAGTTAAGGAGGTGGACCGAAAAGAATGTCGGGCTGAGGAGGGAATGCGTGAGAATCATTTACGAAAGGATAGCAAAATTGGTGATGCTATACGGGGTCAAAGTATGGGGATACAGAGTGCATGACGGCAGAATAAAAAGGCAGCTGAGCGCAGCGCAGAGGTCCTTCCTGTTAGCATCAACCGGGGCGTACAGGACAACGCCAACGGCTGCGCTCTGCGTGATGTCTGGGATCGCACCACTGCACGTGGAAGCGAGGGCAAGATACTCGGAATGGAGCCTGAATGGGATAAGAATGATTGAAGACAGAGTGAAGGGAGGTGATAGGGTATCCGCATGGATGCAAGGGGCATTGCTGGGGGAAGAAAGAATGACTGAGGTGCATGTGGACGCCGGGATAAGGTAAGAAGAAGGTAAAGTAGGAATAGGATGGACATGAGAGAGAGAGGAGGATGAATGGGTAACAGGGAACGAAAGAGTCAACGAACAGAGCAGTGCGAATGAGGCGGAGATGATTGCGATCGAGAAGGTGGTGGATATGTGGAGTTTGGAAGAGAACGTTATGATAGTTAGTGACTCCGCAGTGGCTGTGGAAGGGATGAAAAGGGGGAGAACGAAGAATAAGAGGGTAGCGATGATTCAGAGAGAGATTGAGGAGAGGAATGAAAGGGAAGCACAGACAGGCATTATATGGAGGAAAGGACTCAGCCGACAACATAGGCAATCGGAAGGCGCACGAGGAAGCCACAATGGGGTAGGAGAGAGAGAGAGAGTGTGACTTGGGTGGTGAGAAGGATAGGCAGTAAGAATGAAGAGCGCAAGAGAATAAAGGAATTCATCAAGGGCGACTGGCAAAGGGAATGGGAGAGCAGAAAGACTGGGCGACTGTTCTACAAGTTTTGGTTGACCTTATAGGTCAACCAGCGGTTGTCTGACAGAAATATGGTCCGCGACTTGCCAGTCCTGGATTTTATTTGATATTTTGACTGTTGTATATTTGCCTTTTCCATCTGGACATTCCACTTTAACCGCAGTGAGGACTGAGGTGCTGAATTGTGCCATCGGAAAGACTCTGTAATTCCTAGGAACGTAAACAGACGTTCTAGGTTGCTGATTGCTTGTTAACTTGAAAATTTGACCAGTTAGGCTACTGAAACCAGTAACTTTAGTCTTTATTATCCAGGGCTCTTTGATTAAAGTTATTATCCTCCCCCAATACATCAAGGTGGCGACATAGTGTTGCCGTTGCCGCCTTTTTGTGTTGGAGATTGCATTGTATTATATTTATCTTTTTTCCAACTTTCTTGCTCATGGGACAGTTGTTGGATTTAAAGTTACTCTCAGAGATACATCTGCGCCTTTAGGCGACCAAGCACCCTCTCCTTTTCACCGGATGTCGTCTTGTGGGCGTCCTCCGGGATCCAGAGCGAGGCTTTGGTAAGCTTTAGGAGCTTATCCACACTGACGACCGCAAGGGATGCCTCCTTCCACGGCTCACTATTCATTGTGGCTTTCTTCAGCCACTCGATTTGAACGTGAGCGGTTTGCTGCTGCTGCTGGAGGCGGAGGAAATTATCTTGTCCAGCTCCTCCAGCAGTTGTTTTTTAATGAGACTTCCCCGTTCTGCGGTAACCCAACCGTATGGGTTAGTCTCATCTGTGATAGCGACCTTGAGGTGTCTAACGGCGGCCTCCACGAAGGTTTTGGAAGGTGCAGCGACATTACTGTTGCTGCGCGGCTTCTTCAACCTTCTTGGGGTTCCCTCTGTGGAGGCGCTCACGTGACGGCGTTTTTCTGAGGGGCATCCGGTTCCTTAGCTTTTTTCCAGGCGGAGCTCTTGGTGCCTGCCGCCTCACAGTTGGAGGTGGGTGGAAGAGGAGGAGAGTGCACTTATAGTTGCTGCCATTCCTGCCTCTTTCGCTCTCTTTCTCCTCTTGGCCTTCGCGCCGCAAATGCGCTTACGTCTTGGCCTTTGTGTTGCGTCACGAGGTGATCTGCAATGCCTAGCCTTTCAGAGCGGTAGATTGGGGTGGACATTTCTGTTCATCCCCTTCCACCGCTGTAGATTGAGGTAAGCATTTCTGTCCAGCTTCGGGATTGGTTGTTTTTTTATTGTATTCATGTGTGTTCCCACATGTAACAAGGAAATAGTTGGTCATCTCTGGCAGAGCCCCGCATTACCATAGGGAGGCTGAAAATAATGAGGCTTTGCCCGGTTCCCCAAGGAGATCGTTCGTAACCGCATATCACCCTGCGGCCATTCAGTTGTCGGCACGATTCCTTACACCTTAACTTGGGTAGGCTGGTCCACGGTGGCATGTTTCGTAGTGGATTTTGGAAAGTGTTTTAGATTCCCTCATCCTACTTATTTCTGCCACTGAGCAGGAGTTATGCGATCCCGTCCGTAAGGCTACATTGGCTTCCTGGATAGGGCCCCCAGTCCCCTGGCCGTTCCCCTATTCCCACCTGGGGACGCCCACGATAGACAGCCCAACCCATGGGTTTAGGGATATTATTATGGATATTATTGGCAATACGAGTATTTCTGATATGTGGACTGAATCTAGATAGATGAGAATTTTGAGGAGATCAAAGTGAAAGGTTTCATTTGGGAAATTCAATTTTTCAAAAATCGACGGAATTCATAACAATTTCATTGTTGCAGAATATCTTATTGAATAGGATGACACAGTTTTTTTGCATTCAGATTGGTGCAGTAATTTATCTGTTGAAACGACGATAGGTTAAACTCAGAGAAACTCCAAAATGGGTGTCCAAAGTAGCTTTTACTGAAAATAGTTTGAACTAGGATAGCAATCAAGCATTGTCAATATGCAACTAGTGAAGGTCTGCATTGAACTAAACAAGTATTTCTATGAATTATTGATTTGAGCAACAGAATATTCTTATGAAATTACAAAGCTTCTGACGATGCTTCAAATTCAAAATTATGCGAAGTAGGTATCAATTTTCATTGACTGGAGAATTACAAGACAAAAGTCGAAATAATAGATCTTTAAACTACTAATTTCAAATGAAAGACAATACGTTGAAAATTTTCCTCAACTCCTCCACTTATTCAGACTGCATATTTGAAATTTCATGGAAAAAAGAGGGTTTTAATTGTTGAACTACTGAAGAGGAAATTGGAAATGAAACTTTTACTTTTTTTCTACTCACAGATAATTTCCTGTGTTGAATTTTCGCGAATCTTTAGATTTGATGTTTTCAAAACTGATTATTAGCAGTGAATCACAAGCGTTATTAATTACACTGCAATTCATTGATCTGAAATTGAAAGTTGAATATAATGACACTGTTTTTGTTTCCTATTTTACCTAGTAGGTATGTATGATTCAAACTCAGAAGCATGTTATGTTATAACATTACGTGTTAATATATTTTGGATATTACGTCCATTAATGTTCAGGTTTCAAGGTCTTGGTAAATTGTTATAGTAGTGATTATGTAATTTGAGTTCATTCATTAGTTTGTTTCCGTCTGACGTAGTTAGTGAACATTCGAATCCACATTATTAATACATCAAGTGAATGTTCGAGATCCTTTGAAATTGAAAAACCAAATATTTTGGTTCAACAAGAAACACTTTGACACTTAAATTTGAACATTTGATTTATCGAATAATGTTCAAAATATATGTTGGCCAATCTACGTATGATTTTTATGATTCAACTATAGTTTGCCCTTTCTTTACTTGTGTAAAGATGGGGAACATTTTTTTCAGATTACAAAAAGTGAAAATTGTAAAAAAGGTCGATAAGAAACTATAGTTGTTTCAGTTGAATATTTGAAATATCTACCAGATGTTTTCGAGTAATTTTGAGTACACATTCATTGAAATCTGAAATATTTTTTCATCTGAAAATACTATTATAAAATTCACTGTACGTATGCATTGAAAAACTTTGGTCACTATAACTTTAGTGAAAAAACACAATCACAAACTTTGANACCGATAATCTATTTCAGAAAGAGTTGTTCAGGGTGTAATGTCCAGTTCTTGTACATTTTGTGAATGAATTCGAGTATTTATTCAAAAATAACAATTTTTTACTTTGGTAACTTATTTTAACTGGTTGGAATAAATTTCACAGATCATAACCTCATCAATAAACCATAATCATAAACATAGGTAGCGAATCGAAATGAGTCCATGTTTTCCTGAATTTTTCTAAATTAAAAAATATTCAACTGTCTTATAATATCGAAATCAAGAATGGACTTTTCGTAAGTTGATTTATTATAATTATTATATTCTTGGTGACAGGTGAGAGACCGAATCCGACTAACTTCAGCTTTAGTGGTGGATCCTCTATATCTTCAACATGGTTACTCAGATGCTACAATTGATTATAGACATTGGGGAGTTCCACTCAGTAGAAGATTTAGATCACTGAAATTATGGTTTGTGCTACGCAGTTATGGGCTGTCAGGACTGCAGAAATATATTAGAAACCATATCAGATTAGCTCAAAGATTTGAGGAGTTGGTCCTCAAAGACAAAAGATTTGAAATTTGTAACGAAGTTAAGGTGAGTTATGAAAAATTGAATATGAATGAAATAAATGATTAAGTGGTTGTTCAGAATTGAGGTTGGAAAAATACCGTATTAATTTCAGTTAGCACTCGTTTGCTTCCGGTTGAAAGGCAGTGATAAACTAAATGAAAAACTTCTCAGCAATATTAACGCTTCAGGAAAACTGCACATGGTTCCATCGAATGTTAATGATAAATATGTTATAAGATTCTGTGTCGTAGCAGTTAATGCTGAAGAGGCAGACATCGGTAAGAATTGATCATTTCAGGAAAGTTAATCGAAAGTTAATACATTATTTTTCAAGATCATGCCTGGGAAGTTATAAGAGAATTTGCAGATGAATTATTGGAAGTCCAGATCACAGAGAAAGAACAGGTAATTTGAATATTATAATTACATGTTTCGGAGTTGATAGTTACTGAACTAAATTTAGCAAACATTCTTATCCACAATTCGAGTCCAATTCGTATGGCAGCAACCGTTTCAGCCTATTGAGTTGTGTCAGTATCTGACAAAGTAGGAAGGCTAATTTGAATTGACTGGTCGAATGCCACTTTCGACTAGAAAGTATTAGCTATATCAGTGTGATTTTCTGAGTAATAATAATAATAATAATAAATATGCTTTATTGTCCAAAGAAAAGCTCTTATTGACAAAGCTATGGTGAACATTTTGGGAAAGAAAAAACAGTCAAGTGCATGAAATCAGAATATGAGCTAGTAGATTGATAAAAATATCTAGAGTCCTACCATAAATATAAAAAATAAAGTCTTGTTTTCTGAAAAACATTGGTTATTTGAAGTTGGTTTTAGAAGAAAGTTCTCAAGGGATGACATACATTGAAAATATGGTATATTTTTACAATATTACAATATACAATACAAATACAATATAAGTTATAGTCACGATCAATGGTTCTATTCCTCCTCTCAAGAAATGCCATTTGAATATTTCTGTTCTGTGTGTTTGATGTTTATTTACATGTCTAAAATGGTTTGAATTGAAATTGTAATGACGGCAAAATTCAAAATCTACAACTTTCTAAAGATGTATTGATTTTTTATGAGAGAATTTTCGTATTACTACAACCAGTGACTTGGTATATTCTATATATTTTCCAAAATATATCAAAACTACTTACTCTCGATATCTAACCCTATTGAAAATGTTATAAGATCGATTCGTTATAGCAGTTTTCAAAAATTCAATGTCGTCCTCTTCAACCATCTGTAACATATCCTCCCCATGATCACTTTCTTCTGAATATTCCGCATCTTTTGGTTTGCTGGCTGGAGGAGGTAGACTGGGTAAGTTTTTACGTTTTTTTGTCTTCTTTATAACCCCTTGCTTTATAAGTTTGGTTTTATTCTGATTGTTCCTTTTTGTTTTGGCTACTTTCGTTTTCTAAAATATAATTGTATTAGAGGTAATAGATGACATACAAAATTTTCTTACCGCAACCATTATTCCAAAAATGAATCTAAACTAAGATCTTAAGGGCCACAACTTATCATGTCTAGAAACCACAATAATACACTTTAAAAACCTAACCTCATATAACCACAAGTATGTTGTGACATAACCTTAATATTCTTCGTTTATCTTTTCTGGTTTTGGCCGCTTCTCTGAAAGAAATAAGTCAGCTCCTAATTTGAATTGAACCATTCCTTCAAGGTGGTCGTTAAATTTTACTTTAGCATTATTATATTGTATTTCATTCGCTACATTAAAAAAAATGTTTGAGATAATGGCATATGAACTAAAGTTATTTACAATTTGAGGCGACAGTTTTCCGAAATATCGATCATTGAAGGAAGCTAAGTTTAGATTTTTTTTTTTCAATTTATAGGCAAAAATTATGACTACAAGTTAATGACTAATTGGACTCTTCAGTGGTTTATACTACGCAGTAACTTTTCAGTTTGCTCTTTATTACACTTCAGCAGATACTTTATTGATTTTGATTTGTTTATTTTTTCAGATGGTGAAAAGTTATATACCGAAAAAACAGTAAGAAATATATGTCCAACTTCTTTCAGAATACCTAGAGACCAACACAAGACATTTTTACATTAAATAATCCATCGCTTCAAATACTGAAATATCAAAACTAGATTCATTGAACATTCCTTTGAAATTTTTATTTTTTGTACATCAATTTATTTGATGTACATAATGTATGTAAATAATGAATTGATTGTCAATGATTATTTTTAATTTGAAGGCCACCATAAAATATTGACACATTCTCAACCAAAATTTCCCACAGTCATTTGGTTTCCCTTTTATGTCAGGATCGCGAAATGTTCATTGTATCTGAAAAAAATATTTTTCCAAGAAAATTAATAAAACAATCAATTTTTCATTGAGAGTTATTTTCACTACAATTTTATTGCTTGAAAGAGACAAATGGTTCTAAATGAAGTACAAGTGTGAATGATCCATATTTATATCCTCTTGTTACACGGAGTTTTGTCAGTTCGAAATGATTTTTTTGACTTAAATTTTGGTACGAATACTCGATGTTGGAATAATTCTTAGCGATTTACCTTTCTTTTACTTCTTTCTCAACGCACCGGAGGTTGTTACATTAGATGATTATACATCATAATTGATGTACAAAAGGGTCGACCTAACAAGTTCGAAGAATTAAATTTTTGCACAGTTTCTATGACAGATTTATTGTTCTCTAAGAGGATAATGAATGAAAAACTAAAAACAAAAATAATTTAATTAATCACATCTTCAACATTAATACAATTATTTATAAACTCGTTGACATTGATTTGTCATCCACTTATCCTCTGTTGCTGATGGTACTGCCTCAATAGATTTTTTGCAACATCGGTATGTCCTAAAATTAAATAAATATGTAAGAATAAATAGGAGTTAAAATCTATTGAATAAAAAATAATCTCACCAAGCTGAAGTTCTATATAAATGAACAACATGATAATGTGAGTGGGAACTTGGCACGTTGCACTTTTTTGTTGCCAGATTTGCCTGAGCATAGTAGCCGCCTGATCTAGTTGACCCCGTATTGTTTTCGCCACTGCTATGTTGTACTGCATCACTGCTTGGGCACTTTGAAGGGTATTGGGAAACCATTCTGCAAAACAATACAGTTTGGGGTTGGATAGGATCGTTTTATTTCAAACTGTCCATTTGTTCAAGAGGGATCTTGAATTTTGACTTACTTGCCGGTGGGTTAGTTTTCAATGTAATATTTTCAGGTTTCTCTTTGTCTTCTGGAAGTTCGAAGGATATATCTTTAATACTTTCTGGATTGAGGTGTTCCAAGGCTTCTGATATTTTATCAAGTAGTACCAGAGATTCAGCGGCGTACAAATGTGCCAACAGTCTGAAATGTAGGTTATAATTAAAATTCATCGCCGAATGTCAAAATTAATAATGAATCTCCACTTGTGCCTTAAAGAGACGTCTGGGACATAAGGTGGTTGACATTGCGGTATAGATAAGCCAAACCTTTGTAAAGTTTGGCTTATCTATACCGCATCAATTCGGTACATTTATTGACTGGTTGGTTATACATTCCTTTTAATTTTTTCGGAATGTTACTCATCTCAGATTTTTTGATAATTCGTTCACGGAAATTCATATCTTCAGAAAGCGATTTACAAATGATGTTCGGTGATCCGCACCGAGTAAAACGTGGGATTTATGCGTGCGAAATTGCAACTCTGCCATAACAAGGAAAGGCAGGAATTGATTTGGCTGACCAATTAGCCATACTTCTCTCCTGTATTAAAATCGGTAAGATGGTATATACTGTCTGCCTAAGATAAGAAGGGCCAGCATGGGAAATCGGAAACCGTGAGAGATACAAAGCCACTTAAATAAGGAAAAAAATTGACATTTTGAGAGCTTATTTGAATGACATTAGATAATATGTACTTGTCGAACTCGATCTTTGGGCTAGCCTTTAGCCATTTTAGAGATACACTTTCAATTGGAAATAGGAGAAAGTCAACCAAAGCTATGTTTGGCGAAGATGAAGGCTGGGAAATGGTTATAGTATTTTTAGCTTTATCTTGGTGCAAAAGCCAATAATTGATTTTCTACATATCCAGGCATTTTTTCTAGATTGTCTGAAGCAAACCATTAGCGACTTTAATCTCGAAATTACGACTTATATTACGATTTTATATTCAAAATTAAATTTTGAACTCGAATTTCGAGTTCAAAGTTGACTCTATATTCCAATAATAAAGTCGCAATTTCGAGATTGAGGTCGTAATTCCGAAATTAATGTCGTAATGTTGAAATTGAAGTCGTAATTTCGAAATTGAAGTCGTAATTTCGAGTTAAAAGTCATAATTTCGAGTTAAAAGTCGTAATTTCGAGTTAAAAGTCGTAATTTCTAGATTTACAGTCGTAATTTCTAAGAAACAAACATTAAAAAAATGTTGTCCTTCTGCGCTTCCGTAAACACACGAACACAGACATTCAATTTATCTAAAAATTAAGCTCCCTTCTTGTACACCGGCGGTTCAGGTAGTGCCACCAACTGTAAAGGATGTTTGCCTTTATGATTCTTAAAAATTCTATGCAACATTTAACATCTGTAATATACTCTTGTAATATCACTTACTTATGAATGCTCGATATCCTCGGTTGTTCCAAAAGTTCCTTGGCATGCTCCAACGACATAATGTAATCCCCAAGACATAACGAAACGTAGGCACTTGTTACTAATATGCTGTTCCTCAACACAGCGATACCGTCCAGCGAAAGAGGATTCGAGGGAGACAAACTAGGGCTAGGAGGGGGCGCCGGTGGGGTGACCCCGGGAATCAAAAACAAAGGAACTGGAGGAGTAGCGGTGTCCGAGGGTATGAGGAGAGTGGCGTTCCTCAAACAGAGTAAAGCGAACTCTAAAGAAGGCACTGGGACGGCATAAGATTGGCTCTCAGTGCTGAAAATTTGTTTGGGGTGATTGTTGTTTTTTATTGCTGACTGAGAAATTCTTACCTGTACTTCTTGTCTTTTGATAAATTAGATACCAAAATAATCTTTTGTTTCTCTTTGCTCCCCACAACTTCGGCAATCAGATTCTTTTGTTTCTCGAAATCAATTTCATTTGTCTGAAATATAAAAATGGTCCCGTAAAACACTGGATAAAAAAAATTGCATACTATAAGTAATTCAAGAAGAAACAAAAAAGCTCAGTCTGAATAGAACACCAGACTGGTAAAATGTTATGGTGTTTGATATAATTTTGGAGAGATACTTTTATTGTTCTAGAAAACAAAACTTCCTGTTTTTGGGCTATGTTAAAAAATAAAGTAAATACTAAAACCTTACCTATAATAATTATGTCATATATACTGTAATGAAACGGACAGGTAATAAATGAAATAAAAGTTCCTTTCATGATATGTCATATTATAAATTGATATTACAATTTATAAAGCGACTTCTCATTGTAAAATCAATTTAAACCTAATAGGCTCTCAGGGTAATATCAATTTCTGTACCTATATGAATTGTATCAATTTATTAATACAAGGTCAATAAGTTCTTTCAAGGTTCGAACTCACCTCCTTGTGTACCATTACGCAGCACTCCGCCAACCTCATCCATAACCTTGAATTCCTGTGATATCGTCTCACTGCAACAATGAGACATTCGAATGCTTGAGTTGGTCGTCCAGCATGTAACAGAGCGATTCCAAGGTTGTACATCAATTCATGATATTTCGAGCTTCCTAAAGTATATAAAGGTTTCTCATCTGAAATAACAAGAAAGGATATATTTCATCTAGATCTAGAAACACTCCTTTTTAAAGATACAAAATAAAATATTAGTAGGTCTATCAATCATAAGAAGACCATCTGGAGAAATGTCTAACATATAATGACTTATTTTTCGGTTATTATTTCCTATTATATAATGTGAAAATTGAGTTTCAGCGCTAGAAGAGTACGGCTACCGGACTGAGTCATGGCCGATGGGAGAAATCGTATCTGCGTGAAGTTTGGGTCGGTGTATGACAAAGAAAGTATTATGAAAAAATAATTTTAGGTAGTACGGATTAAGGGGTAAACAATAAATGGATATTAAGAGTGAGAGGCCCGGTTTTGCCGGGTATGCCTACAGACACGTACGCTTTATCAAAATGTGTAATGACAGATATGTTTAAAGGATTTCTGGGTCGAATAGACCCATTCACTTTGGACCTAATCTAACCCCAAGAGTTACACTCGGATCAGAGCCGCAACTTCGAATCGGATTTATGGAAGGAAACGGTGACGGACTCTCCAAACTCGTGAAATTTGAAAATTCCTGTTATTTTCTGAACATACCTCGTAACCACTATAAAATATTATACTTACTGTCGTCCTTTTTTGAACCACTTTGCGAATTACTGATATCTCCTTTGAGGGCCGTTTGGAAATAATAACAGGCCAAATTCGGTTTTCCCATCGCGTGGTGTAAGACGCCCATGTTGTTGTAAAACATCAGTGTCGAAGACTCACCACAATCGCTAAAATCATTAAACTTGAAAAACACACACACACACATTTGATATTGCTAGAATATAAAAGTATATGAACATGGCATGATTATTAGTTGACGACAGTTTGGAAAATCAACTTTCATTTGTTATTACTCCAATACAATTCAACATTGATTGTACTGTTTGGCTTGCGTTTCCTCACCCCAAGATGTTACGTAGTTGAACAGTAAAGCGCCTGTAAGTATGGGCGATATAACTCCTCTTACAAAGACGCCATCTATGGGATCGACAGAGAACTCAATATCAAAAATAAACGAGGCTCGCCAAGGCGTTCACTTGCAAAGTCAAGCTTCGACATCAGCGAGATTCGTCTTCTGATGTGTATGGTACTCTGTTGAAATTTTCGGGAACTTTCACGAGAAACTTTCCCGCAAACTTCTACCGGAAATCATTGATGTGTATCGGTAAGAGTTTTAGAGTTAGGAATTAGTTTTCTTCATCTCATGAAGACGCCAACTTGCTTGGTGAAACGCGCGTCGATAAGAGTATTCCATTTCTGGTGATTGGGAAAAGTGCTTTTTTTGGATATATGCTACGTCAGAGGTTCCAGTTTTACCTTTATTAACGGTGTTGATATCTAAGTATATTATTTGCACCGTGTCAAAGCTTTTTTCCGAGTTTTTTGACCTTGGCCGGCAGGTTTTTATGCCTGACGTTTCGTCTACTGCTGCGGTAGATATTATCAAAGGCGATGAGGTAACGGTCGAAGTGCTCGAGTAGTTCTCAACGTAGAAACTACAACAGCCATCTTGATTTTGAACAGGTTGGAGCCTGGCTCCCTCACCCTTATGACTGGCGTTTGTCAGAAGGACAAATGGGTCATGATTGAATGGTGGTGGCGGTATGAAAGTCTTCAGACATCAGTACCGCCCTTCACGGTGTACCCCTACCTGGCAGGGGTGAGATGGATGCAAAATTGTTCATCTGTTAACGGGGGACATGAGGGCCTCATTCGACGGAGTCTTGGGGCCTTCTATATCGGGAGGGGTCATCTACAGCATAGTCTGTAGCTTCCCTAACTAACGGAACTTCAATGCTGTAATTTGTCTCCGGTTGTATATTATCATATGTGAACGAGGCTTCGTTTCTCTCAATTGGATTTGTGTAAAATTAAGGACAGGTAGCCAGATTTCATTAATGTTCCTTGCCTCTTCCTTTCTGAATTACTATTGGATATTGTGAGTGCCTTCTTTGAGAGCATGTACGGCTACAGCTGATTTGTCGTTTTGTCCGAGGCGACAATTTCTTTTGTGTTCAGAGAGACGGGTACCTATACTTCTTGTGGTTCCAATGTAGACCGTTCCAATTGCAGCTACAAGGAATCCGGTGTACCCCAGGAGTTGCTAAAGGCTCTCTGGGGCCCTCATCTGACTTTATACTTTCTCTGATAGTTTTCGCTGGCCTCAATATTGGTTTCACGTCGTGTTTCTCTAAAATTTCCCCAACCCGGTCTGTAACATTTGTACCATAGAGAAGGAAAGCTTTTCCCTCAACGGGCCTAGCTGGGGTTACTTTGTCGTTCTCTCTTCTGGGTCGTATGGCCCACTCGAATTCTACTTCGTTGTACCCATTTTTTAGGTGATTGAATTCCTCACGGAGACTCTCAGGTTCACAGATGTGTTGTACTCTCCCAACCAACGTTTAAGTTACCCCTCTATTTTGTTGTGGCTGGTGGTTAGAGTTTTTATCCATGTACTGTGGGTGTTAGTTTCCAGACCCAAAATTCCATATTCAACGTCTGTTCACAAAAACATCCAAGAAGGCTATTTTTTTGGTCCTTTGGGAGCTGTCTGACTTGTCCATTTAGTCCAAGTCTCCAGAAAACACTGCCAGCCTCTTGGGCTTATTGCGTTTATTCTCACATCTTCTCATGACACCCATTCCATCAGTCTCGTTCCCTGTACTAGTTTGAACAGGTTCCGTGTTGGATGTTCCGTCATATTCTTCTGGACGTAATTCTGTACGTCCATATATTGCCTGCCTCCTGTGATTCAGTGCCTTACATTCGCGTAAGATGTGTAGAGCTGTTTCTATCCCTTCGTTGCATAATCTGCAGCTGAGGTCTCCGTTGTACAGCCGATCCCTACTACATTGAAGTAGTTCTTCGGTTCTTTTCTCGGATAGTTCCCGAATGAAGGTTCTACTGTGTTTGTTGCCAGGTACTTTTGTCCAGTACTCTGTGTGCTTCTAATTGGTCCATGTCCTAATCTGGTTTCGTACCAATAATTTTGGTACCCCAGAGCTGGTGCAGGACCTATATATGATGTTGATGATCCGCTTCTAGCGCATTCATCAGCTTTATCATTACCTGTGATTCCTGAATGCCCTGGCACCCAGTACAAAGTTAATTAGTTCCTGTTTGCAAGTTCATTCAGTTCTTCATGGCATTCCCAGACCAGTTTTGATGTCACCTTCGGGTTTGTTAGGCTATAGTACATTGGGTTGGATTGACAAAGTTTAGGCATAATAAAAGATCGTTTGGCCTCTCTTCACCACCTTGCCATACCACAAACGTGTCATCAATATAACGTAGCCAACAATATGGTTCCATAGCCGCTTGCTCTAAGGTCCGTTGTTCGAAATTTTCCATGAGTAATGAAAATGTTCGCCACCACCGGACTTGATGTACTGCTCATTACGGTACATCCCACTTCGACTGTTACCTCTTCTCCTTCGATAATGTATACCGCAGTAGTAGACGAAACGGTAGACATAAAAACCTAGAGACCACGGCTAAAAAAAAAACCTGAAAATAGCTTTGACATAGTTTTCTTAGGCCGTGGAAGTTAACATTCTATTCATTTACCGTGTGTTGTAGACTGGTGTTCTGGATTATAAAGACCTTCCAGATAAACTCGTAAAATAATCAAAAGAAACTTCACGAAATCTCGTATAACCTTACCTGTAACATAAACATTCGCTTGGTATTGACGTCAAAATTTTCACGGCATCCATATAGTTCCCTTTCAGATATTCGGTATTGGCTGCAAGGTACATTGCGTCAATATTCTGAAACAATTGTACATTAATAATTTAAACCAAGACAAGTAAAAACATTGGCTTTCACGGTCTAAGTCATGATTAGAGAAAACAAAAATCCGGGCTAGTGGGCTGTGATTGAATGGGACTTGCAATACCAAACGTTTCGTATGCTGCTGCGGCAGACATCATCGGTGGTATGTGCGTTGACTGCGAGGACGAATGTTTTAGCAACGACTGACTGACGGCTAATATTACTTGCAGAGGTGTTTCGGGCTATCTTTTTCATTTCTGATTGTATATTTCTCGAAAAATTCTATTGGAAATATTGAAATTTTACAATATCGATTGAAGCGTCTTGGCAATAATTGAATTATATTTATGTGAGAGAAGTCAATATGTGATTTAAGATAACAAAACATCGAGTATGACCCAGATTCCTCACGGGGTACAAGGATCAGTATAATTGTCAATTATCCCCTGAAAAAATAACGCTGGCCGCCTCTGGTCTTCATCAATCGACTGTGACTTGGCCAGGGTTGCGCTCAACTCTACCTGTGCTTCTCGATCGTTCTAGGTGTCGTGTTAATGAGAGCCAACAAAAGCAGTTTGAAGAAGTTATCAGTAATACCCGTTCTGAAAGCAGCCACTGGAGATAAACGATCTTGTGTACAGAATACAACTGTCATCCAGAAGCAAGCCTACATTTTTCGAATTTACATCTATTCTGTGTTGTTGTTTGCATGTTATGCGTTGAATTTTTTTTCCCGATTAATAATGTATATAAATTCCTTCTATGCTTGAAAATTCAACAAAACACAATCAATATTTTTCCTCATTTCCTCGCTAGTGACTAGAATCGAATCAACATGGTCTGAAGTTGCAGTTATCAATGAATTCAGATTTAAAGGAGAGTCCAAAAAAGCTATAATGAGGGCTTTATCTACAAATCCTCTACAAATCCAATACAAATTATAATGACAAATAGCCGTACATCAAATCATGGTGACATTTACTCAATACAAACGTTATGCATTAACGTAATTCTCGGTTTTATCAACGACACGTTCATTGAACATGGGGTTCTCGAATGATTTCTATAATTCTTTCAAATTTATACTAGCGCTGAGTAGAGTATCGGCCACATTTTCTATAAGGAAAACCGGAGTCGAAAAACGGAAATACGATTGGATTCGCAACCTCGCCACGGTAGTCGTATATTTTGCTATCGAAACTTTTTGCTTCAAAGTTGTAGGACAGTACAAGGATGATGAAATTGTGCTGGTCACAACGTCTAAGGTTATGATGGCAGGGTCTTCTGTAACGTACTTAGCGTCCCTGATGATGAGCGGGGTAATATTCCGAAACAGCCACATCCGATTGATACGTGGTCTGGAACAACTGCAAGGAGAATTAGAAGAATTACACGGCAATACAGGGCCCCCCAAACTGAATTTATTTATGAAAGTCAATGCTGCAGCGCAGGGTATCTTCACTGCCGCAGTAATTTTTGTTCCATTCGCACGTCTTCCGAAAGAAGCTCGTTTTTTCGACAGAATTCTGGTCCTGATTGGTTTGTACTATCCGTTAATACTATGTGCTATTTTTACCCTCCAAGTAACATCCTACATCTCCTTCATCAAACTAGGATTACGCCTGATGAACAAGGAAATTGAATGTATGGCTCACTACAGTTTGGACATGCCAAATTTCGAGGGAACGAGTAAAAAACCCACCAATACCATAATGGTGTTGAACAAGTTTTGTGAGGTACATCATCACCTAATTGGTCTGATCGAATCAATTAACGAAGCTTTCAGTATAGACTTTCTGGCGTTGAATTTTTATGCTTTTTGTCAGCTGGTGGTAGGAACGTACTACATTTTCTGTTGGGAGCTGTTGGGATGGAGAAATGTTTCAAATAGTGCTTTCAAGGCATTCTGGTTAGCCACAAATCTAATAGGCATAATAAAAGATCGTTTGGCCTCTCTTCACCACCTTGCCATACCACAAACGTGTCATCAATATAACGTAGCCAACAATATGGTTCCATAGCCGCTTGCTATAAGGTCCGTTGTTCGAAATTTTCCGTGAGTAATGAAAATGTTCGCCACCACCGGACTTGATGTACTGCTCATTACGGTACCATCCCACTTCGACTGTTACCTCTTCCCCTTCGATAATGTATACCGCAGTAGTAGACGCAACGGTAGACATAAAAACCTAGAGACCACGGCTAAAAAAACCGGAAAATAGCTTTGACATAGTTTTCTTAGGCCGTGGAAGTTAACATTCTATTTATTTACCGTGTGTTGTAGAAAATGATGACTGGTGTTCTGGATTATAAAGACCTTCCAGATAAACTCGTAAAATAATCAAAAGAAACTTCACGAAATCTCGTATAACCTTACCTGTAACATAAACATTCGCTTGGTATTGACGTCAAAATTTTCACGGCATCCATATAGTTCCCTTTCAGATATTCGGTATTGGCTGCAAGGTACATTGCGTCAATATTCTGAAACAATTGTACATTAATAATTTAAACCAAGACAAGTAAAAACATTGGCTTTCACGGTCTAAGTCATGATTAGAGAAAACAAAAATCCGGGCTAGTGGGCTGTGATTGAATGGGACTTGCAATACCAAACGTTTCGTATGCTGCTGCGGCAGACATCATCGGTGGTATGTGCGTTGACTGCGAGGACGAATGTTTTAGCAACGACTGACTGACGGCTAATATTACTTGCAGAGGTGTTTCGGGCTATCTTTTTCATTTCTGATTGTATATTTCTCGAAAAATTCTATTGGAAATATTGAAATTTTACAATATCGATTGAAGCGTCTTGGCAATAATTGAATTATATTTATGTGAGAGAAGTCAATATGTGATTTAAGATAACAAAACATCGAGTATGACCCAGATTCCTCACGGGGTACAAGGATCAGTATAATTGTCAATTATCCCCTGAAAAAATAACGCTGGCCGCCTCTGGTCTTCATCAATCGACTGTGACTTGGCCAGGGTTGCGCTCAACTCTACCTGTGCTTCTCGATCGTTCTAGGTGTCGTGTCGCTTCGAGAATATTCCTATCGGCTTCAGAAGACTTCCATTGGCATATATAAACACTATCAACAGACGGATGGGCTAGTCAAGTTGAAAGTGCAGTACGAAGTGAGCTAGCAAAGGCGATAATCATTTGAGAAATAGTCTGAAGTTCAGTTGAAGTTTTTGTGTTGTATTGTAAGTGTAGTAGTGACAGACATTTGGCGTCGGAAGTGCACCTTCAATAAGTCTACTAAGCTCTACTGAGTATGAGAATTTAAGTTCCATCCGAGAGTCAGCTGGAGTTTGGGGCTGAAGTCGAATGTTTGGTAAGACTCGCCTATCAAGAAACACCCCGATAACTTCACCCACTGGATTAGTGTCCATAGTTTCATCGAAGGGGTTCGTGACACGGAGCTGCAGCAGTCGCTGGGAATGACACAACATGAAAAATTGAATGAAGTCATCATTTATGCCCTAGAATTCGAAGGTACAAAAATGGTTTGCGCCAACAACGAAAAGTTCTAGTGAAGGCCGCCAAGAACAGATTGATTCATGGCAGGTCTAGAGGAATTCTTTAAGAAATATTTGATGAATGGAACTGTACCCAGGGCAAGAGGGCGGCCCAAATGCTATAACTGCGGCGGAGAAGGACACTTAAAGCGGGACTATCGATCACGTTCGGGATCCGAGGAGAGAGATTGGGGTTCGGGACCACCCCAACCCCAAAAGTTAGAGGTTCAGAAAAAATAAATTCAGACAATGTTAGGGGGGTACATTGGCTGCTACATCCCAAGCCAGTAGATATTCAATTTCCACTATAGGACGCAACAGTAACATATTGTTGTAAATCATGCCCNTATTTAGCGTCCCTGATGATGAGCGGGGTAATATTCCGAAACAGCCACATCCGATTGATACGTGGTCTGGAACAACTGCAAGGAGAATTAGAAGAATTACACGGCAATACAGGCCACCCCAAACTGAATTTATTTATGAAAGTCAATGCTGCAGCGCAGGGTATCTTCACTGCCGCAGTAATTTTCGTTCCATTCGCACGTCTTCCGAAAGAAGCTCGTTTTTTCGACAGAATTCTAGTCCTGATTGGTTTGTACTATCCGATAATACTATGTGCTATTTTTACCCTCCAAGTAACATCCTACATCTCCTTCATCAAACTAGGATTACGCCTGATGAACAAGGAAATTGAATGTATGGCTCACTACAGTTTGGACATGCCAAATTTCGAGGGAACGAGTAAAAAACCCACCAATACCATAATGGTGTTGAACAAGTTTTGTGAGGTACATCATCACCTAATTGGTCTGATCGAATCAATTAACGAAGCTTTCAGTATAGACTTTCTGGCGTTGAATTTTTATGCTTTTTGTCAGCTGGTGGTAGGAACGTACTACATTTTCTGTTGGGAGCTGTTGGGATGGAGAAATGTTTCAAATAGTGCTTTCAAGGCATTCTGGTTAGCCACAAATCTAACAATCATATGCCATTTGTGCCGTGACACAGTGTTCGAGGTAAGACCTAGATATAATAATATAGGAGCTTGCATCCCAAATCATCCGTTCCACGGTTGTACTTCCCCCGACAACAGGGAGGCCATGGACTTTTGAGTTTGGAGTGTTTACATGACAGAATGGTACTGGATACAGCCTGTAAAGTCGACAGAAGTTCGGATCCCCTTCTCTGCATGGTCCGTGACCATAAGAGAGCAGAAATTGGAGCATTTCTCGTTAGGGCAGCAGCCCGAGCAACTGATAAACTGGGCATAGTTTGCGACAATGAACGAGGCGACCACAACTCTGTCACCGAGTTGGAACCCGTTCAGCAAAAAGCTCAGATAAAAGCCGCAGAGATCACTTTACTTCTGCGGAAACACAAAGATAGGCCAATGCATGGGGTCTTCTTCAATAACATTGGAGATCTTGGCTTATCAAAGCGCCTGATGTTCGCTCTTCTCAGGTCGAATCGGCTGAAGTCGGAAACTGAGATGTTCATCATGACTTGCCAGGATGGTGTCTTCAACACCTTAGTCTATCGCAGTCGCGTGATGGATATAGAGGTTCCTGACACAAGGTGCAGGGCCTGCCGCGAGGCGCCCGAGACCCTAATGCACTTGTTATCAGCATATCCAGCATATGCGGTCCTTCCAGCATATTGTAGTCCTTCTCGACCACCAGAGCAAGAATATATTTATCGTGGAGTGTTCAGCTCCTGGCGAGACGAATATCGTCCGAAAAGAGGAGGCAGGAATCTTAGCCGTACAGATGCAGAAGGCTGTCAATCTTGGCTCGCTGCGCTTGCTCGGGCACATGATTCTCGGACCCACTGGTCACTTACCCGACGGTGTGGGGAGTGGTCAAATTAGTTTGCACATCAACAGTGTGATATTGTAAATAAAAAGAGAAAAACGTCAATACATTCAAGTAGAGAAATGATATAAAAATGTATATACATGTGAAATGACTAGAATTATTAAATATCTCTAGATGTGTATAGGACCATCACATCCACGTCACAATTATTACAAATAATATGAAGTATAAATATAAAATATTATAAAGTTACTAATTCTACGTGTGTATAAATAAAAAAGGTGTATATTAAATAAAC